GGTTGAGGCTGTTGTTCTAACTCATACCAGCTGTTGACCTCGTTTCACGGCTGCTCATTTACGGAAATGTACAGCGATGGAGTACTGGGGTCCACCATATCCAGATGTGGGGGTTTAATGCAACATGCATCTCTGCTTCCAGACAAAAGATGGACTCCCGATGAAACTGCTGGACGTGTGAGGACAATGGGATGCTGGACTGTCTGACGTTGTCTGTACCAGCAATGTTGGGATGCACGTTAAGAGACTGATGGAATTACGATTCCTTAGGAAGGGTTATACCATTGTAGTAAAATGGGGAAAATCTGTCAGGGGGTGGGAGTTTCAGGGGAAATCCCAGTCTATACGAAATTGTTGTACCACATAATTCAAAATATAAAAATAAAAAAATAAAGATTTTTAAAAGATCGATAATTTTAAGATTGATTTTATTGGAAAGGCAGATGATTTTTTCACAAGGAGCAGCAATGAGAGAGAAGTCTTCTAGCCACTACTAGTTCATCCCCCAGAATGCTGCAACTGCCAGAGCTGAACTGATCTAAAGCCAGCAGCCAGGTCCCCTACGAGGGTGCCGGGGTTCAAGGCTTTGGGCCATCCTCTGCTGCTTTCCCAGGTCGCATAAGCAAGGCGTTGGATGGGAAGTAGAGCCGCTGGGACTTGAACTGGGGCTCCTATGGGATGCCGGCCCCACAGGCAGAGGGTCAGCGTGCTGTGCCACTGTGCTGTCCACAGGTCATCATTGTTTATTTCAGGGAGTGAACCCCATGGTCACTTGTTGTGGGGTAGGCAGCTAGTTCAGGGTCACAAACTAGAAGGCCCTCCTACCACCTAGGTGTTCCCTCCAGTTCCCCCAACCTCCCGTGAGGCTCCCCTTTCCTCACCTGGGACCTGAGAGGGGAGCGGTATTGCACTCTTGGGTAACCACTCCCCTTGCAAGCCCCCAGAAAGGCCCATGATAGGAGGGGCTCGCTCTCTCTCTCGCTCACGTGCTTCCATCGCTCTGACACTCCGACTCGCGGTCTCCCCGGCACCTGCTTGTTCCCTGGCTTCCCGCAGACAGACTCCGAGGACAGGCAGCCCCGGAGCGTGGCCCCTGAGCGTCTGCATCCCTCACCCTCTGCTCACTGCTTGGGTGGGACAGTGAAGATGTGAATGCTAAGATGCTCTGTATTTCTAACTTGTGCACGCTCAGGAGTTCCGGGAGAGGTGAGGCCTGGCAGTGATGGAGTGTGGGCAGAGAAGCCAGGGCAAGGTGAGTGTCTGCAGCTTTGTGAGCGTGCCCAGGCTGTTGGCTGCACGTCCCTTAGGATGACTCACTGCTTGGGAGACTGGGATAAGAAAAGGGCCAGCACCGCAGAATTGGCGAGACTTCGCACAGGCTGGACCGCGTCGGGCCGCGCAGTGTCAGGCCTGGGAGAACTCACGCTTTGGCCAACGGAGGGAGACGCGGGAGACTGCCAGCTATGAAAAATGGAGGCCAACATCAAAATAAACAAACATGGAAGAGCCAAGGAGACAGAAGACGGGAATCCAGCCCACTGCGTTCACCGTGTTCCCGGCACCAAGCGCCATAGAACAAAGCACATGACCAGACAGAGCCTAGCTCGGGAACGGTGCTGGGTGTTAGTCACAGCGGTATCTACACGGTTCACCTCTTTAAGAGTAAAGGGGGTGGGGTGGGAACTGACCATCTCAACAGATATAAAACAAACTGGACAAAATTCTCCACCTAGTCACAGTTTCCTAAAAGGCTCCCCGGGAATGGGTTTTGGCATGGCAATTCAGATGCTGCACAAGGGGCCCACATCCCAAATCAGGGGACCTGGGTTCTAGACCTGGCTCTGGGGCCCAGTGCGGTAGCCTAACAGCTAAAGTCCTTTCCTTGCATGTGCCAGGATCCCATATGGGTGCCGGTTCTAATCCCGGCAGCCCCACTTCCCATCCAGCTCCTTGCTTGTAGCCTAGGAAAGCAGTGGAGGACAGCCCAAAGCTTTGGGACCCTGCACCCCTGTGGACGAATCAAAAGAAGCTTCCTGCTCCTGATTTTAGATCAGCTCAGCTCCAGCCATTGCGGCCATTTGGAGAGTGAACCAGCAGATGGAAGATCTTTCTCTCTGTCTCTCCTTCTCTCTGTATATCTGACTTTGCAAAAAATAAATGCACAAATAAAAACCTTTTTTAAAAATAATCTTTTTTAAAGCTTAGCCCATTTAATAGGCAGACATGGAAATATTTCTTTTTTATTGTGTTAATTTTTAAAGAAGTCCTATTCATTTGCCAGAGGAATCGTGAAGGAGAAGAGAGATGACCCACGTGCTGTTTCAGTCCCTCTGACCAGCAGCCCGAGCTGGGGAGGCTAAAGCTGGGAGCTCAGAACTCATCCCACACGGTCGGCAGAGCCCCAGCTTCCTGGGCGTCACTTGCCACCTTCCTGAGCACGTTAGCAGGCAGCTGGACTAGAGACAGAGGCACAGGCCAGGCGGGAACCAGGCACTGCCTCGCAGGAGGCGGACGTCCCAAGCAGCAGCTTCTGCTCGGACAAGATCCACAGCAAACAAACACGCGTTCAGCAGAAACACTCACACCCCGTGGGCACCACTGGGCAAGCTGCCACTGCTCACTTCCCACAGCCCATCAGTCCACAGGGGGGTTCCAGCCTGGGCTCCGGGAGGTGCCAGCACAGGCTTTGCCAAGAAACAGACAGTGAAGGGCACGCTGGTATGGCCAGCTTTAGAGTCACCCACAGAGCTGCCCTAAGCTCGGGACCCCTCCCCCAGCCTGGGTTCCTTCCTCTTTAACCCACAAAGCATCGACAGGCTGGGGCTGGACCACAGGTGCCTAAACCTCTCCTGGCCCGTTGAGGGAAGACTGTGTGAGCAGAAGAAACACACCTGCTGGTGCCCAGTGGCCCTCAGGAACCTCGAGCCTGGGCAAGGAGCTGGTGATGGGCGTGTCCCAGACACACAATTCCCCAAGTGGGGAGGGGACATCATGGAGTCAGAACTGGGGTGTCTCCGCCCAGTCCCCCTCCCCCTCTGGGGTCTGGATTTAATCCTCGCTGATCCCAGCCCTGCTGCTGAGGTTGGACCTGAAGGTCCTTAAGAGGATTGGGGCATTTGCTAAATTCATCCTGACTGGGGGGTGGAGGGAGGGAGGGTATGTGTGGGCAGGGAGAGACGGAGCAGAGGGACCACCAGGGCAGCGTAGGACCCAGAATGAAGGGGAGGGGAGTAAGGCAGGGGGTCTGGGACCCAGTGGGACACTGGGCAGCCCCTGATGCCTCCATTTCCTCAACTAGGACAGGTCAGCGTGAGAATGGACACACGCATGACCACAGCGGGGGCTTCCTGGCACGTCTGATTTGTGGAGTGGTGGTGCACAGCCTCTGGCTGGCTCAACTGTGTGCCAGAGTTTTTCCTGGGAGAAGAAAAACATGGAAAAAAAACACGCAGACCTGACACATGGACTCCACACTTCGTGCACGCCTCCGTGTGTGTGGCTGGGGTCGGGGAGCATGGGGACTCCCTGTCCCGGCTCTCTGCTGCCTGCCTTGTCACCCTTCTCAGGGTGTGGGGGGGTTGCATCCCCAGGGATGGCCGATGCACTGCAGTCACAGGAGGCCACCCCAGTACAGGACCAGATGCCCCTGCAGGTCAGCTCCCCTCTGGAGTCTCCTGACGTCTGATCACAGCAGGGACACTGTCCTTCCCCACTGGGCTCCCTCAGCTGCCTTCACACCTCTTGCCCTCCCCCATGAGTGCAGGTTCCCACCCACGCCTCAGTCCTCACCACCCCACCCCACCTCGCCCACACCCAAGCCCCCTGGCCTCCAGTGCCGAGCAGAGGGAGCAGCTGAGCCTGAGTCCTGGACCCCTAAGACACAAAGTCACCTTGCCCCATCGCTCCCCAGGCACTGTTTTCCAGGCACCCCTCCTCCAGCCTCTCTCATCTACCATCAGGAGTGGTCCACGGAGCCAGCCCCTGTGTCCACCCTGAACAAGTGAGCCACTCAGTCCCCCGGGTCAGGAACAGGCCTCGTGCTGACCACAAGGGGCTACGTGATGTGAGTCACCCCCCAACACACACACAGGCAGCCTTGCCTCACACACACACCTCCCCACAGAAGAGCTGATTTTACCTTTTAAAGATACAAAGGAGGGCGGCAGGTGCGTGGCATAGCCAGTGAAGCCACCTGCAGTACAGGCATCCCCCATGGGTGCCAGGGGGAGTTTTGGCTGCTCCGTTTCCAAGCCAGCTCCCTGCTCATGTGCCTCGGGAAGCAGCAGAGGATGGCCCAAGAGCTTGAGTCCCTGCACACTCCTTGAGACCCAGAAAGCGCCCGACTCCTGGCTCCAGCCCGGCACAAGCCATCGTGGCCATTTGGGGAATGAACTAGTGGATGGAACATCTCTCCTGTCTCTGACTTTCAGATAAATGTTTAAGTGAAAATATGTGGTTTTGTATGTCCGTAGGCAGGATCTTCAAGAAAATATGGAACATGCATGTTATTCAAATTTTTTTTTGTCTTTTGCACCAAAATAAAAGCTTCTTTGAATTCTTGAATTCCAGCCTTCTGAAACCTCCTAGGGTATTTCAAACAGTTCCTAAACCTACCGAGTCCGCGGGACATCGGCTAAGTCTGTAGAACTCCCAAGATAATGTGGGAGGACCGGCCGGGGCGGGCCCCAGGAGCCCAGCTCTGGGCTATCTACTTGGACCCCTAAGGCGTGCTAGACATGTGGAACGGAGAGGAACGGAGACCTCTGGCTCATGCCTTCTGCCGGGCAGCACCCCCTCATGTGTACGTGCCCCCAGCTGCTGAGGCTTGCTGCTAAGGGGCTGAGCCCTGCAGGGCCGCCCTGACGGAGGGGAGCTGGGAACAGCTAAGCTGCATCTGCCACACACAGTTCCCTGAGCATGGCCAGTCCCAGATTCTGCCCCCAGAGCCGCAGGTGGGGCTGACAGCGCCCAGAGGCCCGAGCAAGACACAGGCAGGTCTCCTACAAGATCTGGAACTTCCAGGCACTCTGGTCCTTGTAGTCCAGGGGATCCATGGGGTTGTAGGTGAACTTCCAGGTGCCCGTGGGGTCCTTGAATTCCAAGCTGTCCACCGGGCTGTAGGCGCCGTAGCTCTGGCCCGAGAGGGAGGTGGGGGACTGGGCCAGGGAGGGTCCCACCGACGGGCCGGACAGGGGGCTGAGGGCCGGACCCCCCAGCTGGGGCACCATGGGGGAAAGGTAGGGGTCGAGGCCGCTGAAGTAGGAACTCGGAGATCCATAGGCCGAGGGCGAGGAGCAGAAGGCCGGCGCGTAGCTCACGGCGTAGGGGGCCGAGGTCAGCGCCGGCCCCGAGGCCACCAGCCCAGCCCGCTGCGCCTCGGGCAGAGGGGACTCAGAGGCGGGGCTCCAGATGGACACAGTGGCCACCGCGGCGCTGGGCGAGGCCGAGGGGCCGGGCAGCGGTGGGCTGTAGGACTCGGAGAGACCCAGCGGGTCCGGGCAGACATCCGCGGAGGGTCGTGGGGACGCGCCCGCCTTCCTCTTGGCCGGGCGAGCCTTGGTCGGTGCGCCCGGTGGCGCCGGCTGCTGCTGCCGCTGCTGCCTCTGCTGTCTGCACTTGGCCCTGCGGTTCTTGAACCACACCTGGGGAGAGGGGAGGAGCAGAGACGGGGTGGGGAAAGGGGAAGAGGTCCTGATCTTACACATGTATGTATGATCGTGCTGGGAGCATTGACACGTGGCATGCGTGCGTGCAATCTCATGTGTGTGTACAGTCACGCATGCGTTGTATTGTGTGTGTGCCGTCTACGCATTTTATGCCCACACAGCCAAGCATGCGTGGTACAGGATGCGTGGCACACCCATCCACAGACACATGCAGTCTTCATGGCCCGTCCCATACACGCACAGACATCTGTCCACCCCTCCAATCGAGACAACTGGCCAGGCTTATGGTCATACACACACACACGTGCACATGTTCACACGTGCAACATACAGGAGGTGACAGCCCGGTCCCTGCAAAAAGCTGTGGCCACTTGGGCCTCCTCATGGATAAGGCGGCTCGAGTGATGCACAAAGACCTTGAACGAAGGGCTGGGACCAGCACGTCATCACCCAGGCCAGGAGTGTGCCAAACACACGCTCAGGACCCTGGGCGGCCAGGTTACAGCAGGAGCCGGTGGAGCTGCTGCAGCGTGGGGAGACGGGACCCAGCCACGACACGGAGGTGGGCAGCTTGTGAGGACCACGTCACAGCCGTGGCTGCAGCCAGGGTCAGGGCACGGGGACCCAAGCCGCTCACCTGAACCCTGGATTCGGGTAGGTTGATCTTCAGTGCCACCTCCTCGCGGGCATACACGTCCGGGTACTGGGTTTTGGCAAACAGGGCCTCCAGCTCCTCCAGCTGGCTCCGCGTGAAGGTGGTTCGCTCCCGCCGCTGTTTGCGAGGGGCACCTGGGGGGCGCGGGGGCGGTGGTGTCCCAAGTCGGCCGGGGAGGGACTAGGACACTCCTCTCTGGGTGCCCAGCCCCTGCCCTTCCACACCTCCCAGTGTCGCTCTGGAACGTGGGCTCTTCCAGGAACTTGTTTCAGCACCAGAGGCGGTGCCTGAATCCTTCCCACATCTCAGACACTTGCAGGTGACACATGACCTCCCCCATGTCAGCCTTGTCTGGTGCCAAGCCAGCTAGCTAGGTCAAGCGCAGGCTGGAAAACCACTGAGAGACAATGCCACGGTCCACTGACTGTCCCCTTTTCTCTTCAAAATGAGATTCTGGGGCTGGCACTGCGACGTGTCAGGTCAAGCCTCTGCCTGTAGCGCTGGCAGCCTCTATGGGCACCAATTCAAGTCCTCCTTTCTCCACTTCCCATCCAGCTCCCCGCTCGTGGCCTGGGAAAGCAGTCGAGGACGGACCAAGTACTTAGGCCCCAGCACCCACATGGGAGACCTGGAGGAAGCTCCTGGCTCTTGGCTCCCACCTGGCATAGCCCCAGACTCCTGACCCCTCTTTACAGCCCCAGAGAAAAACCCTATCCCAGGAGGCTGGCTCCGTCACTCTCCCCACAACTCCAAGGGAACACGGAGGAGATTGTACCTGCAGGTCAAATGCAGAGGTGCGTGGCAGCCCCGGTGTATACCCCCCGACACACATTAAATGTCCACTCCCTGAGGACAAGGGACCCCAGAGGGCCCCAGGAGATGGGGCAGTGGGGCGGGTGGCACTCACTCGGGTAGGGTACAGCCTGGTGCATCAGATCCACACTGGGGCCGCTCAGGGCCAAAGCGTTCACGGGGTAGTGGGGCCCCGGGTTCATGTACGCCATCATGATCATCGGGGGCAGGGGCCCAGGTCAGGCGGCCTGCAAGAGAAGCAATCATGACCACCATCAGTGCCACGGCACCCGGCGGCAGGGGTCACTGCCCTCGGTGGCCTCACCATCACGAGCGGCTGGCGCCATGGAGGCCGTGGCAGCATTCTCAAAACACAACTTTGTACGGACCACAAGGCAGAAGTGGCCGCTACCTCCACCTATGCAGATCTGGTAAATGGGGGCTGGGGAGGGTGGCGGGGGAGAGCGCCGTGGTGCAGCCAGCCCAGTGCTGCTGGGGTCGCCCACAGCCTGAATCCCCACTCAGTTCCCAGCTTGGGCTCCTGACTCTAGCTTTCTGTAACGAAGCGGGTGGGGGGTGACACTGATTGCCCACAGGGGTTGCTGCCACCCACGTGGGAAACCTGGGTGGAGTTCCTGGCTGCCTCCTATGGCCTGCCCAGCCCCAGCCGTCATGAGCAGCACATGCAGAGAGAACCATACACCCATATACAGATCATGGCCAGAGCTGAGCAGGCGGAGCCAAGGGCTGGAAACTCCATCATGCAAACGGCCAGCAGGGGCTCAAACACTTCCCAGGAGCATCAACGGGGTGTCGGGTCAAAATAACATGCTGGTGTCACACATGGCACAGGACCCACTGTGACACGGTGCCCGCCCCATTATACATCTTCAATCTTACATCCTTTGCGTCTGAAAGTCAAGTTTTTAATTAAGTATGCTCATGTGTGTATGTTATATGTCTCATACATGACCAAATAAATCTATTCTCTCATACTTTTATTATTATAACTGTCGTGAGAGTATGATATTGGAACATTAGGCGCCTTCCTGCTGCGCTGGCATCCCACACAGGCACCAGCTCGTGTCCCAGCTGCTCCACTTCCCCTCCAGCTCCCTGCTTGTGGCCTGGGAAAGCCGGAGAGGATGGCCCGAAGCCTTGGGACCCTGCACTTGCGTGGGAGACCTGGAGGAGCTCCTGGCTTTGGATCAGCGCAACACCAGCCGTTGCGCTCACTTGGGGAGTGAATCATCAGATGGAAGATCTTCCTCTCTTTCATCCTCTCTGACTTTGCAATAAAAATAAACAGATCTTTAAATATATATATTTATTTTTTTATTGGAAAGGCAGATTTACAGAAAGAAGGAGAGACAGAAAGATCTCCCATCTGCTGGTTCACTCCCCAAGAGGCTGCAATGGCTAGAGCTGAGCTGATCCGAAGCCAGGAGCCGAGGAGCTCGCCCGGATCTCCCACACGGATGCAGGGTCCCTAGGCTTCGGGCCATTCTCTACTGCCTTTCCAGGCCATAAGCAGGGAGCTGGATGGGAAAATGAAGCACCGAGATATGAACTGGTGCCCATAAGGGCTCCTAATGCTCGTAGGTGGAGGATTTAGCCATTGAGCCATCATGCCAGGTCCATAAATATTATCTTTTAATTCTGTCTTTCCACAAATGGGCTTTTTAAGAGAGAGCCTTATTAAATGACATATTTCAACATTTAGTTGCACTCTAGCCCCAAGTCCCCAGCTAGCCCTGTGGGTCCCCTGGGGTTCTGGGACACAGAAACACCGTTACCGCCACTTCCAGCCAGTGTCCGAAAAGCAGAGGAAAGGCTAAGACGGGCTGGTGTAGATTTCAGCCGCATCCCCACCTGCCTTCCTCCCAACTTGAAGGGACGCTGGCTCCTGCTTCTCACATGCTGAGTCCCAGCTCCGCTGGGAGAGATTTTTTGTTTGTTTTTTTAAACCTCCCCAGCACCAGGAGCTTGAAATTCAACAAAAAACAAGAGCCATGGTGAGCCCAGTCTGGTAGCCTATTGGCTAAAGTCACCACCTTGCATGCACTGGGATCCCATGTGGGAGCCAGTTCACATCCCAGCTGCTCCACTTCCCATCCAGCTCCCTGCTTGTGGCCTGGGAGAGCACTGGAGGAATGGCTCAAAGACTTGGGACCCTATACCCATGTGGGAGACCCAGAAGAGGCTCCTGGCTCCTAGTTTCAGATCAGCTCACTATTGGCTGTTGCAGCCACCTGGGGAATGAACCAGTGAATGGAAGATCTCTCTCTCTCTCTCTCTCTCTGTGTGTGTGTTTCTGTGACTTTCCTTTGCTCTGTAAATCTGAATTTCTTTTTTAAAAGACATGTGGTGTTTATGAGCAAGAAACATTTCTTTAAAAACCCAAGGTAGTGGAGGTAGGACAGGTGGCATGGGGCTTAGACACTGCTGGGGACGCCCACACCCCATGCCAGATGGTGGGGGAGGCAAGTGGCACAGGACAAAGACGCTGCTGGGGATGCCCACATCACCATATCAGAATTTCAGTCCCAGCTCCTCCGCTCCCGATCCAGCTTCCAGCCAATGCCCACTCGGAGAGGCATCAGGCAATGGGATCAAATAATTGGGCCCTGTCACCCACACGGGGTAGCTGGAGGGAGCTCCAGGCTCCTGGCTTCCTACTGGCACAGCTCTGGCTGCTGCTGCTAGTGGGGAGTGAAGCAGTGGATAAAAAGAGCTTTCTCTCTCACACACAAGAGGAAAATGAATAAACTTTTTTTCAATGTACCTATTTTTATTGGAAAGTCAAATTTCCAGAGAGAAGGAGAGACAGAGAGGAAGATCTTCCGTCCAATGGTTTACTCCGCAAGCGGCCACAACACTGGAGCTGAGTGGATCCAGAGCCAAGAGCTTCTTCCAGGTCTCTCACACAGGTGCAGGATCCCAAGGCTTTGGGCCGTCCTCCACTGCTTTCCCAGGCCACAGGCAGGGAGCTGGGTGGGAAGTGGAGCAGCTGGAATGTGAACCAGCACCCATATGGGATCCTGGTGCATGCAAGATGAGGACTGTATCCACTAGGCTATTGTGTCAGGCCCAATAAATAAATTTTTTAATATATTTATTTTAGGGAGTGGTACTATTGCATAGAGAGTAAAGCCACCACGTGCAGTGCTTGGAATCCCACATAGGTGCCAGTTCAGGCCCCAGCTGCCTGTTTTGTAAGAATATATTTTTTCTATTTGAAAGGCAGAGTTTCAGAGAGAGAGAGAGATGGATCCTCCATCTGCTGGTTCACCCTCAAATAGCTGCTGTGGCTACGTGAGGCCAAAGCCAGGCGCCTGGAGCCTCTCCCGGGTCTCCCACGTGGGTGTAGGGACCCATGGACTTGGGCCGTCCTCTGCTTTCCCAGATGCATTAGCAGGGAGCTGGATGGCAAGTGGAGCACCCGGGACTCGAACCAGCTCCCATATGATGTGATGGTCACAGCACCAGGAGGCAGAGGTGGCTCCTCCGGCTGAGTAAGACCTGGCAGGAGAGGCTCCTGCAGCAGGAAGGGCTGGGGTCTCAGGGGTCTGTCGCAGCAGTCACGTGGGACCAGAGCCGATCACAGGGAAAAGAAGAGGGTCGTGGAGGAGCTGAAGGGGAGTGGATCAGGGCAAGACAGCAGGACACAGGAAGCCTTAGTCCCGATGCCCACCCCGTGGGCCTAAGCGGGCAGGAGCTGAGTCCTCCTGCCCACAGCCCTGGAGTGGGCTACACCTGGCAGCCAGCAGAACGGCCCTTCGACAGCCCATTCACAAGTCCTCCCGGTGCAGGGTCCCTCCTCAGCACCCACCCCGGGGAGCCTGTAGACCCCCGAGGGTGAGCCCTTCCAACACGGAAGAGGGGAGGGGGATCCGAGGGTCCCACAGGAGGAAGGGAAGTTCCCCACCAACGATGCTGAACTCCGGGAACTGGCGTGAGGATTGATCTAGTCGTCCTGCAGGACACGTTGCAAACCAGGAGCAACAAGCACCAAGGGGAACACAGGTGGACCTCCCTGTATCCTCCCAGGAGGAGCGCAGTGGGGACACTGGGGACCCCCCCCAGGGAAGTCCTGGGCCCAGCCAGCCAAGATCACCAGCTGGCTTTGGGAACTGACCGTGGTGCTGACGGTGTCCTGGGGCAGGGAGACAGGGAGGAGTTGCTGTATTTGTTTCCTGAGCCGCGGGTCTGATGGGAAGGATGGCAATGTGACCTGGCAGGCTGCCCCACCCAAGGGCCCACCAGATCACTCATGTGTGTGCACCTGAGCCGCTGAGTTCTCTGCTGGGCCCTGTGCACCCACACCTGCCTCAGGGGAGGACCTGAAGAGATGACATTAAGGACACACGAGGGTTGCCAGCTGTTCAGTGCCTGCACCCAGGCCCTGGGGAACCATGACCTCAGGGGACCACGACCAGGGAGGGAGGAAACTTCCTGCAAGAAGGCTCTGGCATTGGCCCCATTACACAGAGGGGCAAACCGAGGCCCCATGCAACACAGCCCCCAGTCCTGTCAGACACATACACACGCACACACACACACACACACACACACACACCAGTGGCAAAGCCCGCACTGAGTTAGCTCCCACCCCTTGAACCTGTTCCCCACTCACACACACCCCGGAGCCCTGAGCTTCACTTCTCAAGCAAGAGAAGCCAAGAATAGGCAAAGAGAAAACAAGCGGCCAGGTTCAGAGGCCACACAGATGGCCAGTGGACAGAACCCTAGTCTCCTGGGCCTCTCCCTGGACCCTCTGCTATCTACCTGGGCTCCCCAGAAGCAGAAGGAGGCCACTCCCTCCCTGACCAAGGCCAGCCCTTCAAGAGATACCCTCAGCTAGTCCACGTTCACCCAGTCTTTGCAGTACCCCTCTGGGCTCCTCTGTCCTGGGAGGAGGTGGGGTGCAAAGGGCTGGAACCCCAGAGGGGACATGAAGAGCCAAGTGACAGGCTTGTGACGTGACCCTCCAAGTCACGATCTCGGCTCCCAGAGTCCCCCGACACTGTACACCTGCCACCTGCTCTTTACGAATGCCTGCCACAAGGCAGACGAGCGACAGAGAGATACCGGCCACTGGCAGGTAGACACCTAAAGTGGAGTGACGTTGCAGGCGGCGGTGGGAAGTCAGCTCACCCGGCCCCGCATGGAGCATGGAGACCGCACCCAGAGCTGGTCCCCAGGTACACCACGG